CTACTTTTACGCTATTTGGAAAAAAAAATTACATTCATTAGAACTCGATAACTTTTCCACACTATAATTTTTTTTGTTTTAAATGTACTTAGATGAAGTTTCGTTTGGGTAGGATTTTAATTCTGTAAAAGGTTTTGTTTTTTTCTTTTATGAAAATGGATAACATCATAGAGAGTGTAAGTGCGCATGTTTTAAGTATTTCTACAAATAAATTGACAGTGTAAATTTCTTGTCCATTGTTGGTGGGTAATAGTTAATTTCTTTTTCTACTTTTTAAAATTTAGACTAATTAATCTCATAAAATAATTATTCATAACTTATTAAGTCTTCTTCTCAACATGATTTTTTTTTATAAGCGTTTCTATTGCTTCAGACTATATTTTCTCTTCTTAGGGCCTGTTTGGATTGGCTTTTGGCTTATGACTTATAAGCCAAAAAGCCATAAGTTAGGATTTCTAACTTATGGCTTTTGACTTATTTTGTTAATTTGGCTTTAAAATAAGTGCTTATAAGCACTTTTTAATTTTACCCAAATACTTCAAAACTGCTTGAAAGCTATTTTGGCTTAAAAGCACCTAAAATAAGTCAATCCAAACGGGCACTTAGTTCATTCAATCAACAATTTAACAATTAATTGAAAACAACCTTTAATTCATATATTATCATATGTAATCCAATTTATTTAAATAATACTCAAAGTCAATAGTATCAAAAATATTTGAATGTTCTTTCAAAAAAATAAATCTTAGATCTGTAAAACTTGTTTTAAAAAATAAAAGAAAAGGAGAAACTGAAAAATCATTAATCTTTAAATGTAAAATTATAATTAAAAGAAATAAGTATTTCTAAAAATAAACTGATGATGGAATTTTCTTGTCCACTACCAGTAAAGAGAAGTTAACCTTTAACCTGACATGTAATTCTAAAAGATTGTAATTAGTTATATATTCTCTTTGTCCCATTTTATGTCTTATTTTTCTTTTTAGTCTGTCTAAAAAGAATGACACATTTTATATTTAACTTTAAAATGTTCATTTAACCTTAATGAATGATTTCTAGCCACACAAATATCTATCACTCATTTTAAACCACAAGTTTCAAAAGTTTTTTTTTCTTTCTTAAACTTCGTGTCAAGTCAAGCTGAGTTATATAAATTGAAACAAAGTACTATGAAACTTTTGAATAAGCAGTTAAATTTATATATAAAAATATGATTATATGAATTTAAACTAAAGCTAAAATGCTAAATGCATCTATTTGTTACACTTCTACGATAAAAAACAAATTAGGTATATGTCTCTTTCAATCCCTCCTATAAGATTGAGATTTTGAAATTGAAATTTCATTTAAAATTCCATTTTGTAGAATAAAACAAAAAACTAACTAGAAAAGTTCATGAAAACAAATCGCCTTACTCGATTCGAACCCTAGTCTTACAAGTGATTTCTCTACCTTGTACCAACTTGTACCAATAACACAAGAAAACTCTTATGCTATTTATGAGTGCACTGTTAATTATATCATAATTTCTGTCAGTTTCCAAAGATAGATATACATATATACACATTATTTTTTTCGAAGTTAACAGGTGCACATACACCTCACCGAACAAGGTGGGTCCGCCTCTGCTTATGTCAAGCAAAATCCACTAAAATCTCTCCACATGTGATGAGATATTGCCATCATATTGTTTGTTGGAGACCCAACCCGTGACCTTGTCCTTTTGAGCTTTTAAACCTAACCTAAAACTCCAAAAATAGTGATGTCAGTTTCGCAAGAATATCGTTCACTAGGTTGTTTCGAATGAATTCATAAAATTTGGGATTAAATAGAGTTGGTTTGACATATTTAAAAATAAAACATAATATATAAAGGGAAAATTGTATATCATAGCAAACTATTAATTCAAATTAAATGCTATAAATATAGTTTGATTTAATTGTACCTCATAGCAAACTGTTGCTATTTCACCTCTCTCCTAGTGAATCTCGCTCGCCACTCTCGTTCTCTCCCTCGCCTCTCTCGTTTTTGATACAAACGCAAGTGTATAAAGTGCGTTTGTGTTTGTATAAAGCGAGAGAAAATTGTATATATACATATATTTTCGTTCCCCTCTCTCCCCTCTCCCAGATCTCGCTCACCACTCTCCCAGATCTC